GCTCATTATCAATTACTCCACCGGCCTCGCTCCGTTCCCACGGCTCTCGGCCCCGACCCCCTCGTCACAATATCTATAGAAAGTTTTAAATTACTACTTTAAAACTAAATAAAACAAATCGAAAACAAACTCTTTCATTATAAAATCCGTAAAGATGCACTACTCAAAAGGCGCGTCTAATGAGGAGATGGCGAGTCAGGATCATCATCTTCATCTTCATCTTTGCGACACGGACTCAGAAAACACTAATTTATTAATAAATAATTCAAATATCTCCTTACTATTTCCCCCCGACACATTCATGGTAATTACTTTTTCTGTGGCTTTGCGGCAAGCTTTAGCCTATTGCGTGCGTTTTTTGCTGTCATGTGCAAGGATATGTTTGCAGATTCTGCACTGCACATGACCAATTGGCTCACTGTTTGCCGTGGTAATCAAATCAAAACTCTTCCAAAATGCAGCTTTCCCCGAAGCATTGGGAACTTTTAGTAACTCCCCACGCTCCAACTTCTCCCTGGTGCTCTGCATGGTCAACTGTCACCTGTATGCTAATGCATGTGTATATGCGTTGTGTATTGCGTAGGCGATGTATAATATTTATAATATAATCAATATAACAATATATTGTTACCCGACGGGCTTGCAGACCTCTACTCTGCATGTGTTGGGTTGAAAATGGAGCCGCGGTTTTAAACTGAAGACCCAGTGTGGTTGTCCTTTGTGGGTGTTTGTACAAGTGGGTTACATGTGTGTTCATGGGTACCCGTGGCCCCTTATATTTTTGGGCTTTTCAGCACACCTCACACCATCCTCATGTTTTAAATGTTTACTTTGGTGTGTTTTGGTATGTTCTGTTTCATGTCTCTGATGGCTGTATAGGAGAGGGGGCCACAGGAAGAAATGATGTCATCTCTAAACTGCACTATGACACTACAGCAGTTTCACTGGAGCCTCTGGTGGCAGGTGTCATTTCCTGCCTAAGTGTGCTTTGAGATAGACAGTGTGTTTTTCCTTAAATAGAAGTTTTATATTTGAAGTGCTCCGTACTGGGAAATGTGCTGTTGATATGGTGAAATGTAACGGGCACACACAAGAGTTCAATCAAATGTCAGCTCCAGTTCCATGATGCTATGCAGTGTTTCCTACAGAATTCAGCTACTGAGTGGTATAGTCACATGTTTTAATATGTCATAGCAGTTACTGAATTAACAGGTTTAACTGATTCATAGTTTGAGTCTTTTGGACTGATTCATTTAAAGAACTGACTCTTTAATTGACTGTATGTTTCATTTGCAAACAGTAACCTTTTTTTAAACAAATACAATATTTGTTCCCACTTTATATTAAATTATTTTAACTACTATGGACTTGCATTAAAAAAATTGTTAGGTTAAAAATACTTGGGTTCATGTTGTATTGCAAATAGCTTTTGATGCTAGTGAGGTGGGTTACAGTGAAGGTTAGGAACAGGTCTTGTGTTATGGTTAAGGGTGGGTTAAGGGGTAGGGGTAGGGTCAGCAGTGTAGTTATAGATGTAATTACAGAAATTATAGATTTAATTACATGCAGGTGTTTGTGTGTAATAAAACCATGTTTGTGAACAGTAAGTGCAAATGATTTAAATAGTTTAAATGTTTGTACATAGTAGTTAAAAACACTTAATATAAAGTGGGTCCAAATTATTTATTTAATAAACTTATAATAATTATATATATATATATATATGATATCATTATATTTAATTCACTAAAACCTTTTTTGTTCCCAAACTTGGAAAGAAAAAAGAAGCATCATCATTATGATGCCAAATCATCATGACGTAAAATAACCATCATCATTAGATGCTGGTAAAATATGAAATAGTCATATGTCATTAAAATGTCTTGTAGTCATGACATGGAGCAAATCTGGCCTACTGGTGCAGTCTAATGGCCAAATAAAAAGTGCATTATAATCATCACTATGTTAACAATGGTGGTTCTATCTGATATATATCACCCTGCCCTGCTATAGAGTAGGGCTGGACAATAATTCAATATCAATATGTATCGCGATATCATTTTTTTCAATAACGGTGATATGATTTTTAAACACATTTCCGATATTTCGATATACATTACCAGTGTTTCCCATACATTGATTTATTTGTGCCGTTTGACTTTGAAACGTGAAACTATATCATTTTTTTCAATAACGGTGATATGATTTTTAAACACATTTCCGATATTTCGATATACATTACCAGTGTTTCCCATACATTGATTTATTTGTGCCGTTTGACTTTGAAACGTGAAACTGCACGTTTCAAAATCATAACACGCCGCGGGTGTTTTATATGAATGTATCTCTGAAGGGAATTGACTGTCTTCAGAAAAGTTTCGATGGCATTTTCATTTGATCTGATAAAGTAGTATTCATGAGCGGAGCTGCTTTGATTACAGCCATTACTGGAGACACCGCTAGTTTTATCACTCTAAAAGCGCCTCCTGCTGGCAGAGGACCGAAATTAAGAAATATATCGTGATATCAATTTCGGCCATATCGTCCAGCCCTACTATAGAGTAAAGTGAGACAGAACAGATGCATTTATAAAGAAAGAGATTGAAGATTTGTGTCCATAAAGATTTCATATTGTGCAGTAAAGGGTAGAGAACTTTTGGAAGTTGAAGGCAGGGCAGGAGAGAGAGTGAAAAAGGGAGAGGAGGGGGAGAGGTGTGGCTGCTGGACATTCCGAATGCTTTTCCGGTAAGGGTAAGGGTTTCCAGCGAGACCATGCCTGGTATGTCGGTCACAACAGACCTGGTCTTGCTTCAAAGCGCTTTACAAGCGCAGCAGTGCCGAAACCGCCACCCATCACCTCAGTCTGCATGTGCAGGAACAAATCCATGGGCCTGGTGGCCTCAATGTCTGCTTAATTGTTGTAAATGCATTTCCGTTCATTATACGCTGCATTCCCTCAGGGCAGAACATAATCTAGATGCCCAAAAAAGGTGAAGTGTGCTCTGGGTAACAAAGGCTGTAATAAAAAAAAAAGTGATGAATGACTTGTCAGATCAGGTTTTGTCAAGAGAAGTGGATGTTCTTTTATTATCTACTGACTGTAAAGCCTTGCTGATTTATCAATCTTAATTTCTTCAGGCTGGAAGTTCTGCCTAGCCATTAAACTTCCTGTCCTTGAAATATGCCTGTAACTCATTCCACTCAGGGTTTAAGTAAAAGAGATATCACTTAACATTAGTTTTTTTCCCCCTAGACAAATAAACATTTCCAAAACAGAAACCAGATGGGATTAGATTAAATTGTTAAATTGCTTGGCTACAATTATTTACATGAATTGCTTCTCATTTTATGTACTGGTTTTGATTCTCTGACGTTTTTCTGTTGTGTGGAGTGGTTGTGACAAAAGTTTATATGCATGCATCCAGAGCACATGTGATTTTATCATTAAAACTAGGGATGCACCGATACCGATTGGACCCGATACTGAACTCCTGTACTCGTACTCGTACTCGTTAAAATGCCCCGATACCAAACGCCGATACCACACAGCATGTGATAAGCGCCATATTCAAACAAAGAAACACCGACAACAGAACAACAGACAGCAGAAAGGAGTTAAGGGTGTCTACTACGAAGTATATGTATGCAATGAATAATGTTTAGAATTAAGGAAAGATATGAATTAAGATCATACTTCTAAGAGCAATTCTTCTACACTGGCCTTTCGTAGCAGTTTATTTGATCGGACCTTTATTGATTTTTATAGCGTATAGGATGCCAGCAGCACTTTTGCCAGAAAATTAGCAAAAAAAAAAAAGTTTAAATTTATAATGATGTGGCAAAAATGGGTGGCAAACAAGTTTTGACAAAGGTTGACATAAATGAAAAGTATTGTAAAAATGAATGGAATTAGAAATGACTAAAAAAATTGTAGATAATTTGCTTCACAAATTTTCAAAGGTTGTGTAAGAAAAACAGACATGTTCGCTTTGAATAAATGCTATTTGCAAGGAGACCGTTATTTTAATGCGTTACTCAAAGTATTTGTCTTTCTGTTTCAGGATTCCATGAATGCCCTGGTTTTAGATTTGGACTTTCCGGCCTTGCGTAAAAATAAGAACATCGAGACCTTCTTGAATAGATGTGAGTATCTGCTTTTAAGAGGCCATGTTTTTCTCTGATTGTTGTTCTGTGTTATTCTGCGGGCTAAGGAAATACTTAATGGTGGCATCAAGTTTTACAATGAGGCTGCTTCCTGCTACAACATCAACAGCATTTATTTGAGTTGAATTGTTTTGAGTGGCTCTTCCTAATTTGGGCCCCTCACTTTACAACACTGAAGCTCATCACATAAATAATGAACTGTCAACACAGATGGTGAAAATTGCATTTTTGTGTGTGTTTGGTATGAAGAAATGGCTTGGAGTTGATGTCATGGAGGATTTTAATGCACTTCCTGTGCAGTTCTTTGCAGGACACTTGCAGGCTTTCATTTTTAGGTCTCGCACATTTAGCAAAGTTTGACTGTACAGTTCTGGATGTGCACATTCTCATAAGCTAAAGAAGTTTTGGTTTGGTGAAAATTAGAGACCGTATGGGAATACCAGGTGCTGTAATATTTGCTCTGTGATGGACTGGTCATCCAGTACCTTTAGATAGGCTTCAGCATCCCCATGCCAGACCGTTGAGCAAGCAGTTTGGAGAATGGTTGGATGGATGGATGCTGACATGTATTATATTTTTCAACACAGTTCATGTAATTTGGCATTTGTTCCCAAAAATGTAGTATTACATTTTTCTTAAGTTATCATTGATATTTGTTTAAATTCAGTAGCCAGTACCATGTCTGTGTGAACGCATCTGTGTCTGTGTTCTATTCAAGCGCTATTAAACTTTTGACTAATTATCACATTCTGTCCCAATTTTGTTCCTGATTCTGCCTGTTGTCATGGAGACCAGTAGGGCTGTATGGACATTATAATGTTTGGTTTGGAAGAGAGATTGTGACTCAACAGTCCTCTCATCCAGACTGTGTGAACTCTCTGCACTGGCCTTTGATACTTGTCATTCCTGATGTTGATTTCACACTAAACATGCTCAATGTTTGATGAGTAACTACTGAACATTACAGTATATACTGAAGATTTGTTGAGGTATAGTGGGGGGATAGTGGGAGGTGCATTTGTGAGAAAAACGACAATGGATCAATGAATCTTTTTTGCAGGCCAATTATAATTCATGTGCTGTTTAAAATGTATACAGGTGCAGCCCTCTACGGACACCTTGGCAATTGAATCGCCATTGGCTAGTACATTTTTTTGTTTACTCGCCAGAATGAAAAAAAAAAAAAAAAGTGTATATATATGTAAAATGGCACCGTTTTATAAATATCTGAAAGTACACTCTTAACATCAGTCAGTCAAGCATTGTAATATGATAATCAATATTATTTAATGATAGAACTTTAGTAATTAGAATTAAAACTTGATAACCATGTATGAATGCATATTAGTAATTTTAACTGAACTTCGGACTGGTGGTGGTGCTTTTTTGGTCATTCAGTGTTTCTGTAAAAAAAAAAAATTTAAATTGGGGAAAAACTAACAAAAATACTGATTAGATAATAATGATACGAATTCTACCAATAAGAACCATATAAAACGCACCAAGGATTAATAAGCTAATGGATCATGAATATTAATCAGGTTGTGTGCGTTCGCTCGAACTGATTTGCTGAAATCAAAACAGGGACGATAATAGGTGAGCGCCAGCCAATGAGATTGCCGTTTGCGCATTAGTTCCGCCTACTACTGCACCCGTTTACCAATAAATTTTGGAGCACTTCATGCTTCCTTCTGCTGACCAGCTTTTTGAAGATGCTGATTTCATTTTCCAGCAGGATTTGGCACCTGCTCACACTGCCAAAAGCACCAAAAGTTGGTTAAATGACCATGGTGTTGGTGTGCTTGACTGGCCAGCAAACTCACCAGACCTGAACCCGATAGAGAATCTATGGTATTGTCAAGAGGAAAATGAGAAACAAGAGACCAAAAAATGTAGATGAGCTGAAGGCCACTGTCAAAGAAACCTGGGCTTCCATACCACCTCAGCAGTGCTACAAACTGATCACCTCCATGCCACGCTGAATTGAGGCAGTAATTAAAGCAAAATGAGCCCCTACCAAGTATTGAGTACATATGCAGTAAATGAACATACTTTCCAGAAGGCCAACAATTCACTAAAAATGTTTTTTTTATTGGTCTTATGAAGTATTCTAATTTGTTGTGAATTGGTGGGTTTTTGTTAAATGTGAGCCAAAATCATCACAATTAAAAGAACCAAAGACTTAAACTACTTCAGTCTGTGTGCATTGAATTTATTTAATACACGAGTTTCACAATTTTCACAAAGAGTTGAATTACTGAAATAAATGAACTTTTCCACGACATTCTGATTTATTGAGATGCACCTGTATATATATATATATATATAGAGAGAGAGAGAGAGAGAGAGAGAGGTGTGTGTGTATAGATATATCCATTGTCATTTTTCCTCACAAAAAACTAGAATGATAACATTAAGGATAACAAATGAGATTTATGCAAAAAAAAATAATCAAAAATATTTAAAAACACTTAAAACACTTCAGTTAATTGGCCAATAGAACTTAGTCAGGTTAGACGTCATATTGAATTTAATGCAAATGAAAATGAAGCAGTGAGGGATAGATTTAATGTCTTTACAATGGCTTGCACTGTATAAAGGTCCTAAATCATGTAATTTTCCCAGCTCGCAACTTTCAAAATGAAGTCTGTTTTATTGAGCCTGAAATCTAAAAAGTTTTTCAGAAAGACGTTTTGTCAACAGTACAATCCATTGAATGCATGTACTTCCATTCCTTACAGCCTCTTTTTCATTCCTGTCAAAAATTAAATATGGCACTACCCTGATTAAGGGGTATTATGGGTAAATACTTGATAATTTTTAAATAATAATAATTATTTTATATTATTTATATTATAATTATGTATATTTTATATTATTCAGTCATTACTATTAACAGACCTGACAGGTCACCGGAAAACTAAATCTGGCTGTTCATGACATGACCAAGGAAATGTGATTTTAATGTGTTGTGTGTACAGATGAGAAGGTTATGGGCCAAATAAGGGAGCTCCAGATGAAGCCAGATGATTTTGACCGAGTGAAGGTGATCGGTAGAGGAGCATTTGGAGAAGTCCAGCTGGTAAGGAAACTTTCAGGATGCATTTAAACGTATATGTGTTGACTGCTAAGAAAACTTACAAATCTTTCCCACGGTTTCTTTCTTTTGTGTCTGATGTTATAATCCTGTACCTATTTTATTAGTAAATTTAGTGCAAAGGCAATTTATTTACACATATAAGTTGCACATACACTGCTAAATAAATCTGCGGCATCGACATGTTCCTCGATGCATCACATTTTGAAAGCACTATGTTAACTCCATTAAAATGAGATTAATTGCAATTATTTAGATCTATTAATAGCCACACTTTAAGTAATGTAATGTGTAATCTGTATGGATGGGTTAAGTTTGTGCACATTCATCCAAATGCTGCAAGCAGTTCTGTGTGGTTCCTGTCGAATGGGACCTCATGTAATTGTGTATTTACATGTCAGATATAAAAAAGAAAGCATGTGTAGTTTTGTATTGTGTCGTCACTCTGGGTGTGTGTTTGTGATAGTCAGGGGAGAGATGCAGTGGGATACGTCTGGACAAGCCTGCAGACACAAACAACATGATTACCCAGTATTCTCCTCTGTCAGTTGTCTGACAGGGGCTGTGTGGGTGCGTTATGCCTAAAGCACAACAACAGAGGGTGCTTTAAAATGTGGCTTGTCTGTGTTGAAGGCAAAACAGCCTCTCACAGAGTATTTATTAGTTCTAATTTTAAATCGTTTTGGGAGTGAGGCACAAGGCCTGTTAGAAATTGAATAATGTAGTTTGTTAGTAATGCATTAGTGAACGTCTCACTAGTATTCTCACAGAAGGTATGTGATGTAGGGATGGAACGATAACCGGTTTCACGATAAATCACGATAAAATACCCTGACGGTTAGTATTACCATTTAAAATTTAATTATCATCAAAACTGATTATCGCGATTTTGAAAACTCCCGGTAAATCCTGTCCAGCCAGCATCAGTCTGACGCAGAAGCAGCATGCAATGTTGTTGTTGTTGTTCATACCGTTACATCCCTAATGTGATGTAGTTTGTTATGATCTGGTTGTGTGTTTGTGTAGGTTAGGCATAAGGCCTCTCAGAAGGTGTATGCAATGAAGGTGCTCAGCAAGTTTGAAATGATCAAACGTTCAGATTCTGCCTTCTTTTGGGAGGAACGTGACATCATGGCGTTTGCTGACAGCCCATGGGTCGTGCAGGTAAGATGCGCTGCCGCTGACATCTTTTTTTGAAGCCAAAGCCTTTTTGAAAGTCCCCTCACATGTGCAACAATGTTTTTTCACACACGAATACTCACTATGATTTGATCTATGAATATAAGGAATATGCTGTTTCCAAGTGTTAAATATCACATGACTATCCAATATGCACACTATCATCAAAAAGTTAGGGAACAGTAAGATTTTTATGTAAAGAAATTAATAATTTAATATAGCAAGGATGCATTAAATTGATCAAAAGAATCATTTTTTAGAATCAATTTTTTTTAACATTTACTGTATAACAACAAGAAATGTTTCTTGAGAGCCAAATCAGCATATTAGAATGATTTCTGAAGGATTGTGTGACACTCAAGACCGGAGTAATGGCTGCTGAACATTCAGCTTTGCCATCACAGGAATAAATTACATTTTAAATTCTATTAAAGTAGAAAACGGTTATTTTAAAGTGTAATTATATTTTATAGATTTGCTGTTTTTACTGTATTTACTATATCACAAAAGCATCCTTGGTGAGCAGAAGAGGCTTCTTTAAGAAACATAAAAAAAAAAAACTATCATTACAACCCAAAACGATAGTGTATGTTTTTACTAATTTCTATTATGATTATTACTATCATATTATATTATTTAAATTAATTAGCTAGCTGCTCCAGTTAAAATGCTAAAAGTTAAATTATGTGTTATGTTAACTGGACTAAAAATATATCAGGGTATCTCTAGTTTGATCACAACACAATCATACACAAAAATAAATAAATTAATTAATAATAATAATTCTTTCTCTTTTCTCAATTCTTTCTCATCTTTTCCTCAGCTGTGCTGTGCGTTCCAGGATGACCGTTCTCTCTACATGGTAATGGAATATATGCCAGGAGGAGATCTTGTCAATCTCACCAGTACATACGACGTTCCAGAGAAGTGGGCAAAGTTTTACACTGCTGAGGTTGTGTTGGCTCTGGACGCCATTCACTCCATGGGCTTTATTCACCGAGATGTCAAACCGGACAACATGCTACTGGACCGCTACGGACACCTCAAACTTGCTGACTTTGGGACATGCATGAAAATGGATGGGGTAAGAGGATAACCAGTTATTGCAATGCCAAATTTCAGTAGTTCACAGACTCTCATCAAAACCTCAGGCTCGCTCTGGTCAGCTTTTGACCGGGTGCTTTCACCCTGAGTGCAGGGATTTTTAGGTCACTCTTGGATGTAATTGCATGACAAATACCTTGAACGCATGCCAGTTCTTGTCCAAACTCAAAGGAGCAAAGAAAAACTCAGCCTTCCTCTCATTCCTTTATGTCTGAGTGAGGAAGACCTCTGATGGGTTCAGAGGTCTTAGGGTCATACTGAGGCTAAGAAGCTGTTGTATTTTAAAAATGCTCAGTTTATGTTGAATAAAGATTAAATGTAGCCCCCCCCCCACCCCCCATATTACTGTACATTTTCTTCTTTATCACTTTTATATGTGGTAATTATAGAGCAATAGCTGTAAAATATTGGATATATGGGTCTGGGATACTTAAGTGTTATGAGCTTGGTGGAGTCATGAAAAAAGATCCAAGCCATAAAAACACCGAAGGTGAACACCAATCTAAAATTTAAAACGGCAAATATATCAATATATTTCTATTTATTCAACAGTGGCCACCTCTGAGATTGTAGGTATCTGATAGCTACTGTGTCTGCAGGGGCACTGAACTCAAGACTAGATAGGCCTAGAATAGAAGGTTATGAAATACATCAAATGTTATGTTACAGATATAAATATATGAAATTCACTACAGGGACATGTTTTTTTTTTTTTGCCCCACATTTTGTATATCTGGGGCATTTATGTCACTTTTATTGCCCGTTATTTCCCCCAAGTCCTGGTTCATTTCTGACCATGCCATTTAGTGCCACAATCCAGCCACAAAAACTAGGCTGGACATACTGCTTGGTGATATTATAGTGCCATCTAGAGTAGAGAAGCAGAACTACACACTAAGAAAAATATTTGAATTAGTGCCAGTACACATCCGTTTAAGTGTAATGTAATGTGATATTACTTTTTGTAAATTGTATATATTGCTGTGTTGAGTCTCTAGACCTAGATCGACAAAGATCCTATCAGTTGACTTATTGATTGGTTGGTTGATGATAGACGGGGATGGTTCATTGTGACACTGCGGTCGGAACCCCCGATTACATCTCACCGGAGGTTCTCAAGTCTCAGGGAGGGGACGGATACTACGGACGCGAGTGTGACTGGTGGTCAGTGGGAGTATTTATCTACGAGATGCTGGTTGGTGAGTCAGGAATGTGAATCTGTGCATTTGCCTAAATTGTGCATTCGTGGTATTGATTTAATAAATGAGATTAATATTTGTGTATGTAGGTGATACACCGTTTTATGCCGATTCTCTGATGCTTTTATTCAGCAAGGATGCATTAAATTGATCAAAAGTGCCTGTAAAGACAATTATAATGTGATATAAAAAATGGTATTTGAACTTTCTGTTCACATAGAATCCTGAAAAAACTGAGTGATCATGTGACACTGAAGACTGGAATAATGGAAGCTGAAATTTTAGCTTTGCCATCCCAGGAATAATTTACATTTTAAAATACAGAAGACAGTTATTTAAATATTAAAATAGAAAAGTTATTTTAAATTGTAATAATTTTTCACTATTACTGTTTTTACTGTATTTTTGATCAAATAAATCCAGCCTGGGTGAGCAAAAGAGACTTCCAACCCCAAATGTTTAAACTGTAATTAATATAATATATATAATAAATAAGTCTATTATATAATAAATATTTGTTTATCATTTGTCTTTTTTTTAATGGTTTGGAAATTAAACATTTATGTGAATATTTTATACTTGTGACATTTTGTTGCATAGTCTTAAGTCAGATTAATACAGCGTCTATTAAAAGCATCATTCAGTTACTTAAAAGTAGAGTTCCCAGAATTTCAGTCTTCCTGGAGCAACACGTGGCTATGTGTTTTTCTCATGTGTGATCAAGTAACAGAGTGATCCTAGAAACATAGTGTCATGTCCCCATTATAAACTCTCTCTTTCTCTCTCCGGCAGCTGGATGAGGCAAATGCGTTACTGCGGGCAGAATCTGATGCTGCTGCACGACTGCGTAAATCTCAAACAGAGAGCTCAAAACAGCTGCAGCAGCTGGAGGCTCACGTGAGAGAACTGCAGGACAAATGCTGCATGCTAGAAAACAACAAGCTCACGCTAGAGAGGGAGAACATCAGCCTGCAGGCCGCGCTGGACACAGAGAAACGAGAGCAAACCCAGGGCTCTGAGACTATCTCTGATCTACAGGGTAAGTGCATATCCTCCGTTTTGAATGTGTGTGTGTTCATTTCACACTCAACCATATTCATATTTCCACATTTCACCTCTTGTCCGCAGCACGCATCTCTGGTTTGGAGGAGGAAGTGAAACAGGTGAGACAGGCACTATCTAAAGCTGAGACGGAGAAGAGGCAACTTCAGGAGAAGCTTACAGACCTGGAAAAGGTAAACAAGTCATTTTTATTTCCCTCCTTCCTTGTTGAGACAGTTGTGACATCATTATAGGCTACTGTTGTGGATTCAAACGTCATTAATGCCTTCCTCGCACAGTGTTGATCATTCCCAGCATTCCCTGCTGAAATAATGTTGTACACAAATGGCTATTAGAAAGCTACAGACTTCATTTTCTGGGGTTTACTCACTGTTAATTGCGTTTTATGTCCAACCGCTCTTCTAATGTCCCTCCCCCTCGTTTTATGCACCCAATAGGAGAAGAGCAACAACCAGATTGACATGACCTATAAGCTGAAGATGTTGCAGCAGGGTTTGGAGCAGGAGGAGGCAGCACACAAGGCCACAAAAGCTCGACTTGCTGACAAGAACAAAATCAGCGAGTCCATAGAAGGCGCGAAATCTGAGGCTGTGAAGGGTATGAGAGTTTAAAGAGATTAAAGATCCATTGAAATGAACTTTTTTTCTTTTTATGTGTGTTTCCATATTTCCTATTAAAACAGGAAGCTTGACAGTAAAGTTTACGTGGAGAATATAGTGTTTTAGATTTAGAGTCGGTGGTTTGGTCAAGAGCTACATTCAAGGAGATTTGTTTGAGAAATTGCTGGTTTTCTAAAACATTTAACAAAGATTTTATGGCTAGTTAACATGTCTGTCTGTGTGTGTGTGTTCACCTAGAGCTGGAACAGAAGCTGCAGGAGGAGCGTTCCTCTAAACTGCGTGTGGAGAACAGGGTGTTAGAACTGGAGAAGAAGAACTCCATGCTTGACTGCGACTATAAACAGTCACTGCAGAAACTAGAGGAACTGCGACGACACAAGGAGAGACTCACAGAAGAGGTGCGTGGAGGATATAAATGTATTTTTGCGACAACTGCAGATGGCCAGTAAACTGAGAAAATTTACTGGCTGTAAATGTCTCTTACTGGACATGAAACTAACTGTATTTTGCATTTATTTATTTATTTACACTACTGTTAAAAAATCAGTTGGGGGTCAGCATGTTTTTTTTTATTATTTTTTTATTTTTATTTTTTTATACTTTTATTCTGCAGGGCCAGGGATGCATTAAACTGATTAAAAGTGATAGAGAAGATATTTATGGTGTTACAAAACATTTCTGTTTCAAATAAATGCTGTTCTTTTGAACTTTTTATTCATCAAAGAATCCTGAAAAAAAACATCATGGTTTCCACAAAAATATGTAAATATCCTTCCTTTGTATTATAATGGATGGTTGGTGAGTCAGGAATGTGAATCTGTGCATTTGCCTAAATTGTGCATTCGTGGTATTGATTTAATAAATGAGATTAATATTTGTGTATGTAGGTGATACACCGTTTTATGCCGATTCTCTGGTGGGGACCTATAGTAAGATTATGGACCATAAGAACTCTCTTAACTTTCCTGGTGACGTTGAGATCTCTCAAGAAGCCAAAAACATCATCTGTGCCTTCCTAACAGACAGGTGAGCTTTACATGCACAGATAGATGTACATGTATTTCCATATTGATGGTCAACTGCCAGGGTTCACGCCTGTTTGACAAAATGTTTTTGCGGATGTTTGCATTTGGTAGGGAGGTTCGCCTGGGTCGAAATGGCGTAGAAGAAATTAAAAGACATCCTTTCTTTAAAAACGACCAGTGGACCTTCAGCACCATTAGAGAGAGTGAGTAAATGTCCATCATACTTGCATATGTTTTACAGTGCATTTTAAACAGAAAATATTTTTGAAGTAATAAAAATGTTTATGGAATTTGTCATATCACTGGAAAATGTTTAAAAAATCAATAAAGTGAATGTATGTGTTTCTCAAACACCTTCTTGCCTTTATGGAACATTGCCCTTATGGAACATTGCCCTTGTGGAAAAAAGTGCACAACTAAACAAACGTTAAAAAAAAACTCTTCTTGCATGTAATATAATATTAATGAAATAAATGTCATTAAATACATTTCTTAACTTTTTTTTTTAAGAAGTGCACTAAAGTTCTAATGTAAAGTGAAATTTTAAACCTTTTAAATAATCTTTTGCACATCATTTTGACACACTGAAGCACATGTTAATATATAGAATAGAAATATTTATATTTATTCAATAGAAATATTGATAAGAGTTGGAAAAGTTCAGCTGATTGCATTTAGTTTCAACTAGCATGCAGTTAAATGTCCAAAAACTTTCCATTTAGTTAGTTTGGATGTTGTTTGAAAGTATTATTTCTGTAACACTTTTTAAATTTATTTGTTTATTTTTTATTTAGTAATTTTTCACAAGGGTATTGATATCATTCTTTGAATAAGAAGTGTTCTTTCAAAAGATCTCTCTTTAGAAACTATGAAATTTAGCAGAAAATATTTTTTGTATTCGTATTCAGTATTAATATTAGTGCACACCTCAACTATTTGTCCCATTAAAACAAACATATTTAAACTGATATAAAAAAAAAAAAAATGAAAAAGTTCTAAAACTATAATAACTGTGCTCAATACACATTCGTATTCCAGTGTTACCCAACTAAAGACAAAGCAAGACTGTGAGGTAGAAGTGTACATTTATGAGCAATATTATTATTATTATTATCTCTACTATCAGTGTTGTTTACATCAGCTGTTATAAACGCACAGTTACCCTTTTTTGTCCTTTCTCTCTCCAGCTGCAGCACCTGTGGTTCCAGAGCTGAGCAGTGACATAGACACCAGTAATTTCGATGAGATAGAGGAAGATAAAGGAGAATTAGAGACCTTTCCCACATCCAAAGCCTTCGTTGGCAATCAGCTGCCATTTGTGGGGTTCACCTACTTTAAAGAAGACCAGTAAGACCAGATTTTTTTTTTCATTTCTTGGTACAGTGTTGGATCTGTACTTGTTGTCCTGATGCAAAACCAGTTGATAACTACCGTCACAGATTACCTGATGTGTTTTTGTGTAGGTTGTTGAATGCTGTTAACAGTTCAGCAATGAAAAAAGATCACCCAGCATCCAAGACAGAGGTATGACACCGATACACTCCCACCTTCGTCAGCTTATACATTTAATTTAACTGCATTATGCTCTGTAGAGACTGGATTTACATCATACAGTAGTCTCTGGTGGTTAGAGACGTAATATGAGACTTGGACTTAAACTGATTAGTGCTGCTTGCAGCATTGGTTGTAACTTTTTTTTTCTTTCTTTCTATTTTTATTACCCACAGGACAATTTAGCAGTAAGTATTCACTTTCTCTCTGCTTAATATGTAGATCTTGTTAGGTAATTTATATATTTAAGAGATTTATACCATATTCAATTGCTTTATTTTCCACTCAGCTCCAGAAGAAACTTCACTCTCTAGAAGAGCAGCTCAACAATGAAATGCAGGCCAAAGATGAGCTGGAGCAAAAATACAGAAGCAACTGTAGCCGCCTAGAGAAGATCACCAAAGAGCTTGATGAAGAAGTGAGTGGGTGTTTCATCTCTGAGATCTCCGCAATTTGTGTGCAGGAATATGCAGTAATCTTACCACATGTGTTTATAGATAAATAGCAGAAAAGGGTTGGAGACTACTCTGAGACAGTTGGAGAGAGAGAAAGCTCTCCTACAGCACAAGAGCGTAGAGAGTCACCGCAGGGCAGAGAGTGAAGCCGACCGCAAACGCTGTCTGGAGAACGAAGTGAACAGTCTGAGGGATCAGCTGGATGAAATGAAGAAGAAAAACCAGAACTCGCACATCTCCAATGAGAAGAACATCCACCTGCAGACTGTTCTTTTGAACTTTTTATTCATCAAAGAATCCTGAAAAAAAACATCATGGTTTCCACAAAAATATGTAAATATCCTTCCTTTGTATTATAATGGAAAGTCGTTTTTTTACTTGTGTATTTTTGACATGCAGAGCCGGTCATTTCACTTGAAGCATGTTTATCATATATAACAAAGACTTGTTGTTTTTTCCATCGCAATAAAAGTTGTTGCAAAAAAGTTAAATAGACTCTCCTGCTTTCTCTCTCTCTCTCTCTAGGTGAAGAATCTCAGTCTGAAGATTGAGCAAGAGGTTCAGAAACGCACTTTGACTCAGAATGACCTGAAGATTCAGAACCAGCAGCTCAGCACCCTGCGAACATCAGAGAAACAGCTCAAACAGGAGATAAACCACCTGTTGGAAATCAAACGTAGCCTGGAAAAACAAATTATGGAACTGCGCAAGTATGCAACACATGCATATGAACTCACTGAATATTCATTACCTTACTCACAAACACACAACTTAAGTTTGTGATTGAGAACCTCTTCTGTTTTTGCAAAAACATTGAAATAATTATATATGTATTAGATAATTTTCTGTGATCCTAGGGAGCGTCAGGATTCTGATGGACAGATGAAGGAACTGCAGGATCAGTTGGAAGCAGAGCAGTATTTCTCTGTAAGAAGTCTAAACACTCTTTCCCTCCAGAAACAAACTAAACACTCAAAAGGTCTAACATGACTGTGTATGTGTGTGTGTGTATGTGCATTTGTGTGTAGACGCTGTACAAGACACAGGTGCGGGAGCTGAAGGAAGAGTGTGAGGAGAGAAATAAACTCTATAAAGACATGCAACAGAACCTACAGGAGCTTCAGGAGGAAAGGTGAGATATATATTCAATAACAAGAAGAAACACCATAGCCTAGTGTGCAAAATGTGTTCAGTTTCATTATTAAAATTTAAATGACAGAATTTAAACAATTTTCATTACATGTCAATATATATATTTTTTTGTCAAAATACCAGTATATATTTTTTATCACATTGCAAATTGAAAGTACAGGTGCATATCAATAAATTAGAATGTCGTGGAAAAGTTCATTTATTTCAGTAATTCAACTCAAATTGTGAAACTCGTGTATTAAATAAATTCAATGCACACAGACTGAAGTAGTTTAAGTCTTTGGTTCTTTTAATTGTGATGATTTTGGCTCACATTTAACAAAAACCCACCAATTAACTATCTCAACAAATTAGAATACTTAATAAGACCAATAAAAAAAACACAATTTGAGTTGAATTACTGAAATAAATGAACTTTTCCATGACATTCTAATTTATTGAGATGCACCTGTATGTATTGTGTACATGTTTGGTTTAAATTCTGTATACCTTTTTCTCATATCTTATTCTCAGGGATTCTCTTGCGGCCCAGTTGGAGATCACACTAACGAAAGCTGACTCAGAGCAGCTGGCGCGCTCCATTGCGGAGGAGCAGTATTCCGACCTGGAGAAGGAGAAGATCATGAAGGAGCTGGAGATCAAAGAGATGATGGCCAGACACAGACAGGAGCTCGCTGAAAAAGACACCACCATCACCTCAGTGAGTTACACCACACTTCAGCTATTAGCCGCTGTTACAGAAATCACATTTAGATTTGCAGCAGTCTTGAGGACATTGAATGGTGTTGGGTTTAATTGTCCCATCCTTCTACAGTTAGAGGAAGCTAATCGCACATTGACGAATGATGTGGCAAACCTGGCCAATGAGAAGGAAGAGCTCAACAACAAGCTAAAGGAAACGCAGGACTGTAAGTTACCCAGATCTTACACTGATAGTGGCTAAATACGTCAACCATTATATTATATTATATTAATTATATTATATTATATTATATTATATTATATTATATACTTTTTACATAATTGAATCATTTTAAAATAAAAATATTTTAAAATATTTTAAAATTAGATTTTACTTAACTATTTTAGATTTTTTGATTTGTTTACTCAGGTTTCCAGCTGAATAACAGGTTTCACAGGGGCTGAATTTGGCTTTTTGTGTCTCTGTGATGACTGAGAACATTTTTAATTTTCAGACCTGCAGAATCTCAAGAATGAAGAGCAGTCCATCACTCAAGTGAAACTTGCCCTTGAGAAACAGCTTCAGTCAGAGAGAACTCTCAAAACACAGGTGCACCATAATGTTGTCCTTGTAGCAGATGTGAATCAAATTGAGCTTGTTGATTTGTATTTACTGCTTCAGTTACTACTTTTTCTTAATTTTATTGGCTTTTTACTCTAGGCAGTGAACAAGCTGGCAGAGATCATGAACCGAAAGGAGGTCAGAGGTGGTGGAAGTCGCCGTGGAAATGATACAGACGTGAGGAGGAAGGAGAAAGAAAACAGGAAGTTGCAGCTGGAGCTGCGTTCCGAGAAGGAGAAGCTCAACAGCACTATCATCAAATACCAGAGAGAAATCAACGACATGCAAGCGGTATCACCACTAATCAGTCTGAAGAATGCCACACTGCTTGACATATAGCCAGAATGCTTGTTTCTTACTCTTGTTTATTTTTGCTGCAGCAACTGGCAGACGAGTCTCAGGTGCGTATCGAGCTGCAGATGGCTCTGGACAGTAAAGACAGTGACATTGAGCAGCTGCGCAGCCTGTTGAACTCTCTTAACGTCCAGTCGCTCGACTCTGCCAGTATGAGCAGTGGACCAGACATGGACACTGACGAGTCAGTACCAGGTATGGTGAAGTCCTTTTCCAAACTTCTTTTCATTCTGTTTTCCTTTTTCACAACTTTTCTTTTTAATTCACTTACCTTGTGTTTTCTTCACATCGTTCCATGTCACCCTCCTTTCTCTCTGCTTAGTTTTGGTCTGGTTCTCAGTTCAACTTTTGATCTTTCACCCTTCACCTCACTGCAGAGCCTGACCCTACAGGTGATCTGCATGGCGTTCAGTGCATGACCTTTTGACCTCTTAAGACTTGCGTAGACCTTATGCTTTTCCTTGACAGGCTTTTCTCTGATGTAGTTTTATAAAACTGCTCTGTTGTATTATACATGTCTTTCTCTGTGTGTTGTACAGAGACAAGACTGGAGGGTTGGCTGTCTTTACCAGTGAGGAACAACACCAAACGCTTCGGGTGGGAAAGGAAGGTATGTTTTGCATGTTTAAAACAAGTAGTTAGCTAAGGATTAGGGATGTAACGGTATGAAAATTTCTTATCACGATTATAGTGACCAAAATGATCACGGTTATCAGTATTATCACGGTATTGTTAAAATGTGCTGGAAATGTTCAAAAAGTACTGACACACACAAATCATTTCACCAAGTTTTATATTTAAAATCAACAAACAACAAATAAAATGACCTTTTGTTTGCATAATCACTAAAACAATAACATTACCAATGATGTTCGGATTTTAAATGACAACTTGACTGACAACAGTTTAATAGCATGTTGAAATATCTAATGTAAATGTTCAAATAAAGCTTTGAAAAAGTTTCATAAAATGGTAAACCTCACATTTCAGCATTTAAGAAAAGGGTTAAGTCAACTAGTTGATTAATAAATGATTATATGTATTCTATCTGCTCCATAAATAATTCTAAATAACATCTGAATTGTTTAAATGTGTAGAATACACATAAGCTTGTTTTTCATCAAACGGTCAAAATTTACAGCAGGGCAAATTGCAAATTGCAAACATGCAAATTCGGTCCGTTTTTGGCCAGACAGAA